CATTGGGGAAGCTTGGAAACTATTTAAAACTACGATCCTAGTTTAGGAAAGGCACAAACAGGTATAGGAAAAAGCCTGCATGGTTAACAAACAAAGTAAGGGAAGCTGTAAAAGGTAAAAAGGATTCTTTTAAGCAGTGGAAAGCTAGTCACAGTGAGGCTGATAAAATGGAACACAGGCTATGGCAAATAAAATGCAAGTCTGGTCAGGCGGGAAAAAAGGGAATATGAAGAACATATAGCAAAAAACGTAAAAACCAACAATAAAACTTTCTTCAAATACATTAGGAGCAGGAAACCAGCCAGGGAGGCAGTGGGGCCCTTGGATGACCAAGGGGTAAAAGGAGTACTGAAGGATGATAGGGAAATGGCTGAGAAGCTAAATGCATTTTTTGCCTCTGTCTTCACTGTGGAAGATGAGAAGTGCTTGCCCACTCCAGAACCGCTGATTTTGGGAGGGGTGTTGAAAGACCTGAGCCAGATTGAGGTGACGAGAGAGGAGGTCCTAAAACTGATAGACAACTTAAAAACTGATAAATCACCAGGCCCAGATGGCATAAATCCGAGAGTTCTGAAAGAACTCAATTGTGAACTTGTGGATCTCCTGACAAAAATATGTAATCTTTCCTTAAAATCTGCCTCCATTCCTGAGGACTGGAAGGTAGCTAATGTCACTCCCATCTTTAAAAAGGGCTCCAGAGGAGATCCGGGAAATTACAGGCCAGTCAGTCTGACATCGATACCGAGTAAATTGGTGGCACATAGATGAACAAAACCTATTGAGGCAGACTCAGCATGGGTTGGGAAGATCTTGTCTCACCTGTTAATGTTCTTTGAGGGGGTAAACAAACATGTGGACAAAGGGGATCCAATAGTTATTGTTTACCTTGACTTCCAGAAAGCTTTTGATAAAGTTCCTCATCAAAGGCTCCTAAGTAAGCTCAAAAATGATGGGATAAAAGGACAAGTTTTATGGATCAAAAACTGGCTAATTAATAGAAAACAGAGAGTGAGTATAAATCGGCAATTTTCTCAGTGGAGGGAGGTAAGCAGTGGGGTACCGTAGGGATCAGTACTTGGTCCACTGCTTTTTAACTTGTTCATTAATGATTTGGAGTTGGTTCATATACCAAACTGCCAAAATAATAGTAAATGGAGACTTGACGAATAATATTGAAATTCAAAAGGGCACACGTCAAGGGTGCCCGTTATCGCCACTACTTTTTATTTTCGGCTTGGAGATATTGCTGACATGGGTAAGAAACGAAAAAGAAATCCAGGATCTAGATATCAAAGGGGAAAGTTTTAAAGTCCAAGCTTATGCGGATGACATGGCCGTTATTTTGGAAGAACCTCAAACAACGTTAGAACAATTATATGTTCTGAAAGAATATGGTAAAGTTGCAGGATTAATGATAAATAAAAAGAAAACAAAGATTTTACTGAAGAACGCCAATAGAAAGACAGAAAAGATAAAGACCTCTCTGGTTTCGAAATACAGAAGAAGGTGAAATACTAGGTATTCAATTAACAAACAGATGCTGCTCACTGTTTAATGATAATTACAAGAAAGTATTGTTGGAATTAAAAAAGGACCTAGAAACTTGGAGAAGTTTACATATTTCACTGATGGGAAGAGTGTCAACGATAAAAATGAATGTCCTACCTCAAATCCTTTTCCTGTTTCAAACCATTCCTATTCTAAGAAACCAAATGTTTTTTAAAGAACTGGAAAAGCTAATAAAGGAATTTATCTGGCAACAAAAAAGACCAAGAATAAAGCTAAAATATCTTCAAGAAAGAAAACAAAGAGGTGGATTTGCACTGCCCGACTGGGTCCTTTATTATAAAGCGGCGGCGATGAACTGGATAAAGGACTGGATTGTTCAAGAGGATAAAAGATTACTAAGGCTGGAGGGGCACAACCTACAGATGGGGTGGCATTTTTTTATGTGGTACGATAAAAAAGCTCCTGCTACTCATTTTAAACAACATACATTGTATAGAATATGGGAGGAGATAAAAGTAAAATATTATGTAAAGATACCTAGATGGCTCTCTCCCATTGAGGCGTTTACAAAACCTTAGCTCTATACTAAATATCCCAAATGAAGGTATGATGACCTTATAGATGCAAAGGGATAGTTACTCTCGGAAACTTGTTTAAAAGAACAGGGGACCAAGTTGACCTGGTGGGAAAAAAATCAACTTAGGTCTAGATGGACAAAAGATAAACAAATGGGCATATATGCAACTCAAACCGAGCTAGATAAGATATGGTTAGGAACAAAAGAAAATTTCATTAAAAAAGCATATAATTTCTGGCTGGAGTGGAAAATGATAGACGAGCAGGTCAAACCCTCAATGATAGCATGGGCACAAGATATAGGACACAGTTTAAGTTTCGAACAATGGGACAAAATTTTGTCAAGAAATATAAAGTTCGTAAGAACAAGTGCCTTTAAGAAAAATGTGATAAAGATGTTTTATAGGTGGCACATTTCGCCGGCTAGACTAAATAAATTTAATGAGAAAATAAAGAAAAACTGTTGGAAATGCAATTATAGTAATGGTACCTTCTACCACATGTGGTGGTCATGTAATAAAACAAAAAAAAATATTGGTCTATGGTGAAAGAAATCACAGACAAAATAATAGGCAAAAACTTCCCTTTAACTCCAGAATGTTGTCTATTAAATATAATGCCAGATGATTTTAAGGAGAAAGAGATATATCTGTTAATGCAAATTCTTACTGCAGCTAGAATTGTTTTCGCTAAGAGGTGGAAAGAGCGATATACCCTCTAAAGATGAAATTATTACTAAATTGTTTCATATAACAGAAATGGAGAAATTGACATGTATCACTGAAGAAAGAAATATGGAGAAACATGAAAAATATTGGCAAAGGTTTTATAACTGGTTGAAAGAGTCCAATTTTGGTTCAATGTTATGACTTAAGGCTTATTTTTTTGTTATTGGTGTCATAAGTTGAGTTTTTTGTATTTAAAGACGTGGAAGAACTCTGCATTTACGTAAATATGTTAACAAGGAAACATGGTTGTTTTTACAGCAATTTGAAAAACGAAATAAATAAAATTATTTTAAAAAAGAAAAAAGAAAAAATACCCCCCAAAATTCCCCCCCCCCCCAAGACAGGACCAGGAAAAGGGAAAGGAGCAAGTGTAGAAAAAAGGTTTATCAGAAATAAGCTCTTTGCCTGGTTTCTTAGAGGTAAATGTAAAGGTTTCCCTTGCTCGAAAGACAGTCAAATCCGACTCTAGGGTTGCGGTGCTCATCTCCATTTCGAAGCCGAAGAGCCAGCGCTGTCTGAAGACGTTTCTGTGGTCATGTGGCCGGCATGACTAAACGCCAAGGTGCACGGAATGCTGTTACCTTCCCACCAAAGCGGTACCTATTTATCTACTTGCAATTTCTTGCTTTCGAACTGCTAGGTTGGCAGGAGCTGGAACCA